TAATTATAAAGTCATGACTTTTTTCGAGAGTATTTTTACTACACATTGTATTTATATATACATTTCTGAATTTTCGATAGCGCATTAAACGATAWKGCAACGTTACACACTTACACGTTAATTCGTTTTCAAACCTATTTGTTTTATTGGATCAGTTGTAGGTAACTAAGTTCTTTGTTAATTTTAAGTGTTCTCATCATTCGGTCAAAAAGGTATAACTACGTTCCCAATTGTTTCATAACCATTAAACCTCGGGCAAAATTGCAATTATAATAATAATTGGGTGATAATGTCTATGTACCATTTCTCCTCATTATTTTATATTATACATTTTACAGCTTATACCAACTTTATCTGAATCACACTGTCGTCATTGAAATTTGTAATTTAATTATAAAAACTAAAAATTGATTTGTTTTACTTTTTTTAGGGYGGAGGTGAAGCACCCAAAAATCTTTCTGGTAGACTGGTTGCTGCTACATGGTGGCTTTTCGGATTTATAATTATAGCATCTTATACTGCTAATTTAGCAGCTTTTTTAACGGTTTCACGATTGGATACTCCTGTAGAATCATTGGACGATTTGTCTAAACAATATAAAATACAATACGCTCCACTGAATGGATCATCAGCAATGACTTATTTTCAAAGAATGGCTGACATTGAAACACGATTTTATGAGTTGAGTACCTACCAATAGTTTTTAAAAATATTAATATAATATTMGTCTGTTTCTAATGAAAATACGCAATACACTTTTATAAATTTAATTAGTTACACACTTATGATAAAGTTAAATTTCCCCGATTTCCTGATATTAGTTAGGTAAGTACTTATCACCTGACTCGTCGGATTTACAGCCGTTCCGTAAAATCCTGATGGCACCAACATATGTTGGTATTATAGTTGTAATATATTCATACGAATAACAGTTATTATTTTAAATAATTTAGTTAGCACAAATCATTTAGAAGCTTAAAAAAGCGGGAAAGTGGATATCGCTCTGCTGTACAATAGGTTACAAGTGGGTTACTGTAATGGATGGAATTAAATTTGAATCCAATGATAT